AGATTATGGGCAATCGTGGACCCAACTGAAAAGGACGGCAGAAAATAGAAGAAAGTGGAGATGTGTTGTTGAAGCTCTATGTTCCACTAGGAACCCGAAGGAATTACAAAAATAAAAAATCTAATGCCTCTCGCCAAGAAATGTTGGCTAAAACCGGGTCAGGTTAGAAAAGATTTCGGAGTGTTTAGAACAGGACTCGAACGATCTATCGACAGGCTGAATTTCAACATAGGAAGTAGCATAGAAGTGCAGTAGCTCAAGTTGACAAACTCCACACACAACACAAAGTTATAGAAAAGGAAAACAGAAATTCAAAAGAACCACGTTGGGCACAGATATACGGGAGAAAGAAAAATCACATGAAGAAAGAAGGATATCACGGATCTCCGAGATTGCAAAGAGTCAAAGCATCCGTGTCATCGAGAACGATTTTGGGCTATATAAACAAAGGTTTCAAGTCATTGGTTCTCAACATCTCTAGGATCACAAACAGACCGTCTACATCTCCCTAATTGGATCAAACCGAGAGTCAAATTTAATGGAATAATACCAGGTTTTTGCTTGGCCATACCTGTCTCATTTCCAACCTCATCCTACGTCTGCTAACACTGCTTAACGGGGAAGGCTGTGGATTGTGTTTTAGTCATCTCAATCGATGTGGCTTCACAACATCATAGACTAACTTCCCTTCCTTACCCAGCATTATACGCATAACCTCAATATTACTCCATTGAAACTGTTAACGCATTAAACCATTCTACATCCCGTAAATAAACCTATAGTCGGTGAAAACCAGTGCTTACATTTGACTGTAGAGTATCGCTTGTTAAGCCAACAAAGATTCGCGCTCATGGTGTTCAGAAGACTCTACTTTTTGCCAGCATAATTACCAAGATGGACACTAGTGGCTTTATATTCTGAGTCGGGAAGCCTGTACACTGATAACAAGTCGATGCCGAAATCGGTGAAGTTATTTGAAATCAATGTCATTAGTACAACTATAATGATATTAACGAAATATGCTGAGAGTGGCCATCGCTGGTGGACTCTACTGGTTGTCATCACTTCGAATGTCACCTCTCCTTAGGATCACATACGGCTGAGTCAGTTCAAGTAGAGTGCCATGATTGCAGCCAAACATTGCCACAGCATCTCTCAGTCAACGGATTCAAACAGCGGCTTCAGGTTCCGAAATATGGCAAGTGTTGGACGTCCGTAAGTATGTCTGTGTTCCAGAATCTGTCGAAGAGTGAAGACGTGGTGAATATACTCTCCTACTGGACTATGGCCTGACTGGTTTGCCCGAGTTCTTTTCTCCCGAGCACTATCAACCTGCGCATGATTACTCAGCCCAGAACTTTAGATACAATATTAGTCAAGCTTATCCCCCTATTATTATTATCATCATCATCATCACAGGAAGACTTTCGTCCCTTCTTATAAACCACAACAACAACCAGTGATTTACACTACTCTGACGGGACTACGTTTGATTCCCGGGCATTACCTCAGTTAACCTAGACAAATGTCCATTACAACCGTCCTTAAACACATCTGAAGTCATTCCATCAGGTCCTGCTACTCTGCCTCATTTCGGACTGGGGACAGCTTCTTTAACTTCACCTAGAGTGTGGGGACAGTGTCTACGTCCTCTTCAGGCGCGTGTCGGATGGTGAACTAATTAACCGTGTCTGTAAATTAAATTCCTCCTCGAAGTGTTCCCTCAAACACTTAGGTCATTCATTGGGAAATACAAGAAAACATTTATTATAAAGAATATTATATACCCAATGCCCAAATTTTTTCAAACTATTAAAAGTGAACTTGGTTTGGACATACATGTCCTGAGGGATAATTGAAGCTTCACTTTCCACAACATTGTCTCGCTTATCAGTTGTCTTTTGTGGGCTGTTTTCTTAATAAGGCTAAATAGTTGTTTAGTGTTATCTACAGTCTATGCCTTTCCCATCACTTTGGCTTTTATCACCCACCACCGCTCAAGATCGTTGTGAAGACCTTCAGTCACCATGCTTTCCAGCATTCTTTGCTCCCGGCGCAATCAGTCTACGTGCGTCTATCAATTTAGATGGCATTTACTAACCTTCGGTTTCAGGTTGTCAACGTCCTTTACCACTTCTCCAACAGCTGACTGGATATTATGCCAGGCTTCCTTAGGATGAGTCTTCTTGTCAATCTGAGATACACCTTTAGATATTTCTTCCCTGAATAGAGGCTCAGTTCACTTCTCGAGTTGGGAGGGTATCGGCTTCATAGCCGCCTGTTTCCTGTATCACGAACCAGAACGTGATCAGGTTATACACAGGTGTTTTAGAAGGATTGAGTCTGCTAACGATACTCCCCATCGGTAACATTCACCATATTAGCACTGTTTACTGTATAGGAATATGATGTAGTACCATCAGAGTAGTGTAGGTGTCTAATTGTCTCAGGTTTCAAGAAATAGAGCAATTCCTCTAGTAATACAAGGAGGTGAGCCTCAATTATCTGGTATATAAGAAGCTAGAACTCACCTCAATGCAACTAAAACCGCCGTGGCAGAACTTAAGAAGAGTTATCAACTGAAGGTATAACAAGCAGTGTCTTCAAGGTGTTTACTATCAACACTCTTATTTCAGTATGTTATAGACGCTCCAGTGCATTTGACTCGTAGAATTCGACGTCTGTAATTGACTGGTTACCAAGAGAACGCTAGTGACATGCGAACGATATAATTCTCTCAGACGAAAATGCTTTACAAATGCAGTCTTCTATGCGAAAATCAGAGTATATTTCACACCTTATTCGCCCTTATCAAATGAAGAATAATGTTACAAGACTAGTTCACAGCTACACTAAATTTAAAGTCGGGATAAAAGCAATAGGATGCATTGATCACTTCGTTTGCTTCGGAAGTTAGGCAAGCTCCAATGAACTGATGACTGATGAAAGAAATATCAGCACTAGTTGCATCTAGCAACTTCTGTTGCCTTTACAGATGGTAAAACATTCGACTACCTATCCGAAGTTGTGATGTGCTGTGTAGATAAACATACTACTCAACTTGACATCCTTAATTGAAGGGTGATGTAATGATTTCGCAGCTGCTTTAACATCACGGAGAGCTGCAAACCATTACAAATCTTATCCAACATCTAGCTTTATGATGCCGCATGTCAAGCGATTCACAACAGGAAGCTCACCTAAGCCTTTAAAGTGAAATTACGAATAAGGCAAAGCCGCCTACTATCACCACTGATCTTCCTGATTGTGGTAGACTGGATCATCCCTCAAACCATGTAGTGGGGTGAGAATACGGTCATACGTTGCACTGACAAAAACACCTTGGAAGATCTGGATTTCGCAGATGATCTATGCCTCACGTCTCACAAACTCGATGATTTACAGGAGGAAGCCAGTAAACCCCCAGAAGAGAGAGAAAACATGATTTCAAGTGAACATGAGGAAGACAGTCAACAACAAATCTAAAGTAAGTGGGCTCTGTGACGTCCCAATATGTCGGCAGTAGTAATTCACCGACAAACCCCCAATGCAGATAGACGACTTAAACTGTAGTGGTAATTTGAAGCATACAAGAGTTTCCTCGCGTAAGTGGAAGAAAAACTGGTGTCATTGTCCAAAATCCTTATCATCCTCAAAATTGTGAACAATCTAAATTCCCTTGATTAAATTACCCTAACTCTATACGCACTTGTCTATTGCAACATCACTACATTTGTATCACTGTGCACTATATCAACTGAGTAATCCAATGGTGAAACAATACTGTGCATAGAAATCAAGTTATATCCACATACCAATCAAACCTTCAACATATTTCCGTTGTCATTTTGGGTGATGTTTGGAAGTGTAACTACTTGCAATAATGATCTTCTTGACAAGATTCTACGCTTATACAGTCTATTACGAGTCACGCATCCTTAAAGGTGGTGTCTTTCTCCAAATCGACTCGCTCACAATGAGTTTCCCCTCAACCATTAGAAGATGCAAGGATGAAAAGCCGCTCATATTTGCCTTTACTCGGAGGAGGTGAAAAAGGCGTTTCGCCGATGAAATGAAGTGTGATGATTAAATATTTTGTATGTTTTGAAAAAATGAAGTTAATGTGCGACGGTTTGGAGTACACTTAGATACTACGAAAGTAATCGTGTAACTACACTCCTGGCACAGAAAAAAACAATATTACTCAGAGAATAACTTTATTCACAAAAAAGAAGAAATGTACAAAAGCCCATGAAGATCCCGCGCAAAGTTGTCTGTAAAAAGAATAAAAACAGTACAGAGTTACTTCCTGTGAGTTATCATGCAACTTGTAGAATGGCACTCGTCAGCAAAGCGTATCTGCAACCTTGAAGGGACGCATGCTCCTCCTGAGATTCGAACCCGCGTCACCCAATGGTAACGTCTTTGACTACACTACTGGGTGACGCGGGTTCGAATCTCAGAAGGTGCATGAGTTCCTTCAAGGTTGCAGATACGCTTTGCTGACGAGTGCCAACTAGCAGGAAACCTAGGTCCAAGGCTCCCTAGCGATTGTCTCCAACCATCTAATGCTTCTAGAATAGACTGAGTAAATGAACTAACTGAAGTCACCAAGAGTAAGGAAATTATTTTTCGGTCATATATTTTACCATACTGAATAATGGTTTTTTGTGAAGTGAATGTGACCTATCACCGTTGAAAAAACTGCTAAATACTTTAAAGCAGTTGAAATGTAGTGAAATTTCGCAATTTCTATCTTTTTTTACACTATAAGCAGTACTGTTTATAAGCCGAAGCGGTAAATCTCTTGCGAATTAGACGCTCATCTATTTTGCATTTGAATTCTAGTGGTTAGGAGACGTATATTCTTTCAGAAGTATAATAAATATGGTTATTTCTTTGTTCAATAGTGAGTAGTATTATCTCATGAAATTAGATATACACTCACCTGCAGTAATGTTGTTCTTATCAATGTATTTGCACTTCTCACCCAATGAAACCTATTTTTTGAACTTCTTTCCACTTTTTGTAGATTTTGAGCTTTTCTTCCTCTTTCTATCATTCACTCCACTCGATGGTTGAATTAAAGAGTCGAAAATATTTGTAGTTGACTTCTTCTTCTTAACGCCTTTATCTTTTAATTGATGTTTTTTATTTAATAAGGGATCCGAGATTTCCCGCTTCACTGTAGCAGATTTTGACTTCTTTTTCAATGTTGAGTCTGTTGAGTTGGGAACAGTTGGTTTTGTATCAATTTTAAATTCAGGATCGATTGAATCAGTAGACATATTAACTAAATGGTCGTCTGATGATTTAGGACAATTGCCTTTATCAGACACTTGATTGTTATCCAAATCCATGTTGTTTAAAGCAGAAGAGTGCAGTCTTTCATTTTTCATAGATATCTTAAATAGTTGAAGAATATTTATTGTTAGTAAAAGTTTTACAGGAGATAAAATCAAATTGAAAATGAAACTCTTTACTCTTTTCTGTTTATCATATAAGTCCTAAGGAGACAAATTAGTATGTTTTGAGGTTAACTCCGATTATAATTAGAAGTTTACAAGAACTTGTGCAAACTGACACACTGAAAGATTTCTAGTGAAAACTTCTGTCAGATATACTGGGCATGTTTCTAAGTATTAATAATCTAAAGGATGACTATTTCTCAAGTTTAACCGCCATATTTCTTGAGAACAGAAGAAACGAAATTAATATCATAGAGTCTCTACAATAAACAACATAAAAAGGTACTTCAAATTTCATTGCATTTAATCAAAGCCCTTTTACCCTGATCTTTCTACACATAAAGGAAGCATTGTCAAACATTTCTTTTTACAGCATACAAAACTGTATTTTAGTTCCTGTTTTATGAAATTTTTCTATAATGCTAGCAATTAATTCAGTTAATTTTTAACTTATTGGTGAACACAAGTTCCCCATATCTTCAATTCAATTACAGATACTGAAACTAAGTTTAGTCAGTAGGAAATTGAATGACTTACTCTTTTTTTGCTTTTGAGAGAAAAGTTGACGCAGATAGGTTCTCCATGTATAAAGGTTCCGTGTCTCATTTCAAAATCTTTGAGTGCATGAAAACGTGTGCCGTATACTAAAGTGCAAAATCTAGATGGAAAAAAATTATATAAACAAAACTTAGTACAAATCGAGACAGAAAAGCATGTCAGTGAATGTATTAAATTCACGAAAAGGAAGAAATGATAAGAATTTCTGAACCTATGAAAATGACAAGATGGGATACACTTCACCATCTTCATATGAACAGATCAAAGAAATAAACCCTAAAATAACCCTGTTATTTCAAAGTTACGTATCATCTGTAACATTTTCAAAAAGTATTATTATTATCACTGATGATATTTGGGGTAGTAACATAACTACGGAGAGAGAAACGCTTATCTCAACATTACTAGCATTTAGAGAAGAGAAATAAAATATCATTTTTCGTAGTGCAGTCCTTTCAAAACGTTTTTACAGCCTTTCAGAGTTGCATGCTGGCATAGTAATGTTTAGTCAACAGAGAATAAGAGCCCCTATAGAATGTCAAAATACATTACTTGTGATCCTTGTATTTTACGGTGAGTTGATTAATGCGTGTTACTAGCATAAAAATCAATGCGACCCGATAACTACACCAATCATATAATCTAAGTAGAAAAAATTGAAGTTGATATAAGTCTGCAATTAAATAGTAATGGTCACTGGATAAGAAATTTGCTACCAAGAGGCATACTGAATGTGTGACTGAAGTTATAGTTGATGGAAGAAATTTAAAGACGGGAATGGGATATTCAGATTATCTTAGGTAATCTTGATCATACACTGATGCATTTATTTATTATCACCATGATTGTTTGCATATTCATGAAACTTATGTTTGGCTATTGGTGGTGAAAGGATCTAAGGGGAATGTCAACCAGTCAGTCCAAATTCCAGTGCTGTGATGTTTCCACTTAAGGTCAAGCTCAATATTCGATGCTTTACACACTGTTCCATTATCTGTTGGAATAATGACTAACATATATCACTCTTGATTTGCTTATACCAGCGATCTACCCACTGACAATGCTGAGGTGAATTAACAACTTTCTGTGCATAAGTTTCTTGAACAGAACTTTTGATTTCTTCGGTTTCGTTGGTCTGTCTGCTAATAGCTAGGATTGGGACCCGGAAAGCTCTACTTCCGACTCATACTAATCTACTAAGCTATTGTTATTCTTTGATTAACATATGCAGCTAAAACAGGCAGGCAAGCGGATTAGAGTAAGGATATTTGCGCAAAATTCAGATACGCAAAAACAACAGTCATATAAATTGTATTCATTTTTGAACAGTAAAAAGGGACAAAGTTAGAAAATCATTTTGTGTTTAACTTAAACACAGATGAAGCATTGCTTTTACTTAAATATTTTACAAAAATCGTTCGTACGCACAATATTCAAACACAAAATACGCACATTGATTTCTATGCTAAAAGCTCAGAGACGACTACCAATAAATAAAAAATGACTTTACTAACCCTCGACAGGATCCATCATCATACGTTGGCATGCGTATACCAATAGCCTTCGGAAATACTTGGGCCAAATCGAAACGTGAAGTGGCACGATGCAAATGAGTCACATGGAGAGCCCGCCAATCGAAGTGTGAAAGTTGCTTTTGCATAGGTTCAGACCATTTAGTTGAGTCAACATTATCAGGCCCGTGTAGTGAACAAACTTCAACTTTGATAGGTCTGTTACGCAACAGTTTCCCAGAAACTGACTTTTGAGCAGCGAGCATTTCATCTTGATTGCGAAACTTTGCAAAAGCATATCTATGTTAAAGAAAAAATGCGACGAAATTACTTATAAAATATCCAATTTATCGTAAATGAGTGGGGTTTGACAATTGTATGAAGTTTCACGCGGTTACTATCTTAAAATATATGATCAAATCCCTAAAATTCTACTTTTTTGTCCTAAGCTACTATGGCTACTTTTGAAATCAGTGATTTGAACAACAATGTCAACTTCCTTTATGGTTATCATGCTTCCCTTTGTTTGAAGATGCTTATTTAGAGAAAACTGGGCATAAGAAATTTGTAGGATTTGTATGATTTAATTACTTCTTTGTGCATTGACACTTCGAAACACTTAACTAGAATCGTAATCGTAAGTCTAATCAGTTCAGGATGGACTTTCTTGTTAATATGCCCTAGGATGCGATTTAATTTACTGTATAAGTGACGTTACAATCTGAAAATTTTATCGAGAGATAGCTGTAAATAACGGATAAAATATAAGTCGTTAGCAGATTACTTGCACTAGCCAGTGTTTTACTGCGTAGCATTATTTTAAAAATATACTAGTTATTAAAATTTGAGCGGCATATTAACTTCAGACAGAAAAAAAGAACACTGAAGGCAGAAGAGAATATCTGAACGAAACTTTGAATAATTGAGTTACGCTCACTACAAGACGTCTTTTGATAGTTAAGCTGTCGGAATTGCTAATTAACAGGCTTACATGGTATTATGAAAACGAGTATGAAAGGTTTAGGTGAGATAAGGCTCATAGCCTGAGACATGAAAAACTTTTTCCGGGTAACTGCTTTCTAACAATATAGTAAGCTTCATTTTACTACTTAGTATTCTATAACTTTTCAGTCAAATGCGTATGATGATACACATTGATATCAAATTGATAGCAAAGTTAAAAAAACGGTACTGAAAAAGTTCGAGAAGCAATTTGTGGGGCTAAAATCCCATTTTCTGTTTGAGTAAAACGAAACTCTTGACTTGACAGGAAATTATCTCAGATGATATCCGACATCTGGTTATCAAAGATGACAAATACAAGAAACCAAAAGTAGCTCCAACTTACCTAGAATTGCGCTTGTAAGGTATGCGTACATTGACTGCAGTTGGGAAAAGGTCTCTAATCACACTTGCAGGACAATTTCTTGGCACTCCACGCACAACCAAAGTGTACTGATACATTTCAGCTTCACATATGTAAGAAAAAACGGTGAGTTCACAATGAAACTATTTCAGAAACACATGTATTCAGCAAAATGGATGAAATTTTACGACCAAAAAAGTTAGGAGCTGTTTAATACATGAAGCGCAAATAGTTACGCTTACAAACATCACCCAAAATGACAACGGAAATATGTTGAAGGTTTGATTGGTATGTGGATATAACTTGATTTCTATGCACAGTATTGTTTCACCATTGGATTACTCAGTTGATATAATGCACAGTGATACAAATGTAATGATGTTGCAATAGACAAGTGCGTATAGAGTTAGGGTAATTTAATCAAGGGAATTTAGATTGTTCACAATTTTGAGGATGATAAAGATTTTGGACAATGATACCAGGTTTTCTTACAATTAGGTTCAAATTATCACTACATTTTTAGTTGTCTATTCTACATTGGGGGTTTGTCGGCGAATTACTACTGCTGACATATGGGAATGTGACGGCATTAAGATGTTCCCCACAAATGACCAGCAAGCTAATGAATACGACAACCCGGGAAGTTACATATACCTGGTTATTTTGTGGTGGTTTATAGCTGACGGTAAGACCTTAATAAGGACACAACTCCAAAAACCACTTCAAAACGGCCTCAAACAGTTTTACTAGTGGACTCTATGGTGACGCAACACTATATATATATATATATATATATATATATATATATATATGAAACAGTGAATAAAAGTTTTAGTCTTCTGGATTTTGTCCTTGGCTTAATAAAATATCTCGATATATTTACTTTTCTTTTTGAATGGAAGTAGCTCGCATTTTCCCCTAACAGTGTACTCCATCACCATCAGTTTTACATATACTATATAAACTGAAGACAATGATTTCATCTGAGCATTAATACCAGTGAATGTGAGAAATCTGAGTTAGGACTCATAGAGGAAATTCGCATCCATGGAAAATTCGGTAGTGTGGTCATATTGGGATAAAGTAGAGAAATCAGAACTGAATAATAATGTTATTTTGATAATTAGATGTGCGTTTGATGAAAACGTAAGTAGATTTATTAATTTTGATACTATTTGAAAGTTTTTCATGAAACTTAGAAAACTAAAATAGGGTGACGCAATTCTATTAGGATGAGAGGTACTTGAGAGGCACAACATAAGAAGACTGCGAACGGTTTGCTTAGAAGTGAATAAGTCTAAGTTGCAAAACTTCCAAACAATCCACAGAAAAGAGGATATACTAACGTAGAACATTGGAGAACTTGTATACTGCACTGTAAACCCGTTACACTAAAAATATATAACATTACTAGTCATTTCACCACTAATATTCGAAATGAAATATAAGACAATCACTTTGGTAAAATTGTGAAATGAAACCAAAGTACTATTCAAACAGGTGTCACATTTTCATATATTCCCATAATGACATCAGCCACGGTATTACTGATACAAGTATAATGAAATCAGCCAAAGTAGTTTTACTGATCCATCGAACATGACCAAACGAAATACTGATGACACAAAGAATTCCAGTAACAAAATTTGTAGTAATTACCTTGACGGTTCCGTACTGCATCCAACTTTTTCTCGTCAGTGTCCAAGGTTGGCACATAACCCGTACGTTCTGGAAATGAAATACTCGATGATGTGCGTGGTTCCTGATAAAGAAAAATCAATGGATGAATAGCATGACAACAATCGCATGTAAAATGCATATCTTCCCAAAAACAATTTCAGGTATTTTAGACGATATCCTCACTTTGCTACACATAGTACTTTTGGTATTTTTATTCAGAGAATTTTACACAAGAAAAGTTTTCACGTGCAGGCGGAAATTTTAAAAGCCTACTTGGGATTACACGATTACAGAGAAATTCCTCCCGAGTACATGCATATACGCACCATTGATCCAATTCAAAACTTGAAGAACCAGTAGGTTAATGAACACTAGTGAATATATATATATATATATATAACGAAAATTGAGAAAATAAATTACCGACATCTAGTTATTTGTGTAATCACCACAACAGTGTTAATAATTTGGCTGTTTCATTGAATATAACTGAAGTGACGTAACAAATGTGAAAAGTTCGTCTTCTATTCGACGAAAATCTACTTAATAACCGAAATTGGTAATAAGTAACTAAGCTAAATTAACCTGGATTCCACTACTAACACTTATGCAGTTAAACAATGAAAAGTATCAGAAATGTTCAGCAATAAGTAGTGTAAAATGTTAAAGAAATATACCTTTGGTTCTGCTTTTGGGACAGATGCCTTTGCTGATTTTTTCAATTTCACCACTTCTTGCTTTTGATGGCGTTTCCTCTGGGATTTACTTAGTTTTATGCGGGGTTTTGTATCCATCTGTCATTGAACATCACAGAAAGATTAATTTGTATAACAGAAACAATCGAATCAAACCAACACTAATTTTTATACTGGTAAACATAAATAATAGAATACTGAGTAAGGTCATAAAAATAGCGTCATTGATTAATATTATTTTTACGCTGATCGCAGTCTCCACCATTTTGAAGAATGAGTGTTGGTATCCACCTAAAGATGCACTGTTGAATACAAATTGTAAGACTGGGAAAAAACCAAAATTCATGTTCAATGTCGTAAACAATTTTGTGGGGCCATAAGAGAAATGAAGAAAATTTGACCTAGATGTTTTGAAATTTTTCCGATTAACCGTGAATGCATGATTGTGTTCACAAAATCGAATACTTTGACAAAAAATAATTAAAGCGAAGCACCAAAAGACACGTCACACGACAACATACCGTGGACAAAATAAACAGAAAGTAGAGAGAATGATGAGATGTAATGTGATCCACTTAGCTTCAAAAAGTTAGTTATTCAGGAAATAAGGTGGGAAACACTTTAATTACAACTAAATTCGATCACGATCTAAATGTAAGTCGTTAAACTCTCAGATTTCATTTATTTAGTCGCAATGCATAACAGAAGCTAACTCAACGCAACTATTATAAACTGACTACCATCCCATTCAACATATCAACACTAGGACTGGTGACTTAGACTGTGATCATTAAAGAAACGCAGATCCAAAAAGTAACATTCATTTTAAGAACTTTCGGATAATTTGAAGCTATAACGCTTTCGTTAATTCTTTTGAGAAGTTCAGTGAAGTTTGACATTTAACACGTAGGGTGGTGAAAAAAGCGTAATTGTACTAGTTTCGAAATTCTGTCAACAGTCAGTCCATTAATATAACTTTTAGAACATTTGGTGTTATGTGAGGTAGTCATACTGAGTTTTGAAATTAGTTGCTGGTAACGAAACAGTAATAGACGAGTACTTCCAACTAATCTCAATATTTTTCAGTTTCAAACACACTTGGTACAGTGGGGGATAAAAGAAGCACCAGACTTTCATGCAAAGTTCTGCAATGGTTCGTTAGTCAGTCGACGTATCTTTCAACTTTACTCAGCCCTGTAGCTCAAACAGTAAAGCCACCAACTCGTATAGAAATGTTAAAACATTATTCAACAAGATCAAAATCAACAGCTCCCGAAAAACTTGTCCACACCTGGAACGGTAAATATGTACGCCAAACACGAGCACTTGTTGACGAATTATTCACCTGATTTTCTAGTAGTTCACAAATTTGAAAGAACCAGAGTAAATGTTGACTTCGACTACGTCAACTAGTGCGCTTTATGTTATGGCAGACCAGAATACGTGAGTAATTTATCACAACTGAACTAAAATTGTCAGAATATTGTTACAAAATGTTTGTTTTCTAGCTATGTGCTACGTTAGAGTGTAACCAATTGGCGTTGTGAATTATAGAGGCGTAGGTACAAATTTAAAAGTTGGGTGGACTATAGGATTACACTACTTGCTAAGAGATGAGAATCAGACTTCTTTCTGAGAATGCTTTAGTACATCAGTACTGAACAGAAGCCAAACTATCCTGGGTAAGTATGGAAGAGTAACTGGTACGTCTATTGCTCAACAAAAATATTCTACTACCGTTTTATACTTTTCTGGTGTATTGTACTACTGTACACAAACCGACTACATGCTGTATCTTTTATTTTCATCAGTGCAGTGACTTTTGCAACAGTATAATCTTCAGAAGCACAAAATATCTTGATACAGGAATTGAGCTGTTTTCTCAGCTTCTAGTTTCTGGTAGTGATCTGTAGAATAATAAGGCTCGGCAACTATACCATCAGTGTACTCATGTTCAAGCATACTGATGCACCGTGAAATTATTTACTGTGAATACCATAAGAACATAATAAATACTTAAATGAAGTGGTTACAAACAGAATAGATATTTGTTCACACGTATGGTTTAAAAAAAACGAAATCAAAGTTTCATCTAATTATGGAAAGGGAAACACTTACCGCATCATCATTTATAGGTAATTGTTTTGATATTCCTATATCCAAAGGTGTGTTTCCTGTAATATCACTTTCCACACCTGTCATTTCAAGCTGCTCAGATAGAGAGGCTGTTCGTGAAATATCTAATTCGTGGGCCGAAATTGAATCAGGTGCCTCATTTGCCTAGTAGGAGATAGAGACAATATGGAAGTCTTGGAGTAATTGCGCTTACAATAAAGAATAATAGCCTACAAATGACAAGGAAAGCAATGGACTACGCGAATTTAGTTATCCCTTATACTTCATTTGGTAGTCATCGGTATGATAAATTTACAATAGGGGGATATCCTTGCAATCCAGGTAAAAATAGGGTGACCCAGGAAGTGAACAGGGCTGATTTACAGCTTGATATTTCGGATGAAACAACAGTTATTTATAGGATAAAAATGCAGTTCAATTTGGATACCATATGTAATACAGTTGTACAAGAGGATCCAACAGGTCAGCATTCTTATTTATCGCTCTCAAAAATATATTTAGTGCAAATTCGAGAAGACGGGAGAATACCAACAAGGAACTTGGGGGCAGGAGTTCGACCGCTGAAAACCACGACTTATCGAACAGTTACAATCTCCGGAAGAAATTCACAAGCATTTAGCAATAAGCCAAAAGCGCCAATAGCAAATCGTGAAAGCAATTGACTTTTTATGCTTTCAAAACGTAAAAGCGGGTTCCCAGTTTACCTTGTCTAAAAATGGACGCGCTTCCAAAGCTTTCAGTTAATAACTGTCGTATCATGAGTATTTTTAGTCTAGCCCGATGCGAAACGGATTCCACTCCTCAACCTAAAAACAGGCTACCCAATAGTGTCTTGTAATAATAATCACTCTGTTAGCTGCCAAGATTTATCAACTAATTTTGAACAGCACATAAAGCGTGGCATCATCATCGGGACTAAGGAATATGTCGGAAACCAAATTTCCCATGTTGGTTTAAAAATAACTCTCTTACGGATTATATCACACAGATCTGCACTTGTTTAATCATCTAAAGGCTCTAAATACGCTCACCTTGTTATCGGGATGATTTTCTCTCGAAGATAATCGTCTTCTTAGCAATTTTTTGTTCGATTTCTGAGTATAACAATAAAAAATACCCCATTAGTCCTACCTTCAACTTTAATTTGTCCTTCGTTTTAGTGCCTTTAGATTTCCCAATTTTAACTTGAGGGGGCTAAAGAAATATACATAAACACACACACACCTTATCAGCCTTGACCTTCATTGGTGCCGGAACGTGAAATTTTGACTGTGGCGCTCTAATGCCAACAACTTTCAGATATTCACGTTGCATCAGCAGGATTATTTACAATTACAATTTTCCCCGACTATTTCCGCGCAAAACCCATAAAGTCTACCAGTGTGACATCTCTTCGAACGCTTAATTCTGGTTTAACTTCTGTTCTATCCTTCTCATACCATCGGAAACCTGTGTGTCGGTGGCACAGTAGTTAGGACTCCCGTAGACCATGCAAATGGTTCGAGGTTCGATTCTTGGACGACGTACGCCTGATATCAGTGGTCGGCCTGCTAAATTTCGGCTGCCGATATCACATGCTGGAAATTCCATACATGTGCCAAAATACTGTGTGGAATCAGGCTACATTAAATTTTAATAAACGCTTGTGAACCCTATATACTTCAACGGGAGAAGCAGAGTATGGATTTCATCCAGATTCACTCAATACAGTATACTACATCAAAATAAGGCGAACTGTGGGGGCCGCCTCGTTCCTGAAAGTGTAGCAAGAATAAATTACGTTCCGTTGACTGGATATAGTATGGAGCGCAGAGCTTCAGCGCAACACCTCAATTTTGGTCAGGCCGGTAGATGCAACAGTTGGTGGTGGTGTGCAGTGGAGTGTTAGAAATGTTTTTGGTGATGAGCCCACCAAGTGTCTCAGTCATGTGGAGGGATTAATCCGAAATTATTGTTGAAGATTCATATGTCTTAGTTCTAGGTTTAGAGGAGTAATGGAGACCCTACCTGCTATCCTGGTTACGGCTTTGGAGTCCTTGTCCGTCTAGCCTGCGGTTAATATGATACTGCTTGTCCAGGAGATGAGTGAGGGAGGTGAAGTTCTTTAAATTTCTCCCATGGACAGTGACTGGCGTTTTTCGTTGTTTCTCTGTATTCATCACCTAGACGTGTGTTTTCCTTACCTCCCCTGATAGTATATCGGTTTTCTCTTCCGTATCTCCGAAATTCTGGGACATAAGACAAAAATCATAAGCAGACTCCGGATCATATAGGCTATTTTGCTGTTTGAGTTTATGCACGTTTTCGCACTTCCCACGGTGTAGACGATGGTCCAGTCCATGAATACAAATGGTGGTAGCATTTATCCTTGTCTAATTCCAGTCTTCAATGCAAAGACGATTTTTTGTTGTAAATCACTCGAAAGTGAGCTGCTGAATTCTGTTTATGAATATTTTTGCGTTGCATGTCGTTAAGCTAGAGCAGTTGCTAAACTGCTTCTCAGTAAACGCTGTCAAAGGACCTTTCAAAGTAGGTAAATCTAAGGCAGAATGCTGACTGCCAATCTAGTTTCTTCTTAATAGTGGTCGCAGTGCATATATTTTATCCATGCATGACTTGTCTCTTCTGAATTCAGCGTATCGAGGTTGAAGCCTTCCATCTAGGCAATCCTTCAGTCTCTCCAGGTTGAGGAAGCCTAATTTTTTATTGAAGGTGGACGAGAGTATGACAGTGTTCCATTTTTGCAAAAACCTATATCACCCCTTTTAGGAAACTTGGTGGGTACACTCTCTTCCAGTCGAAGGATTTCCTCCCTTCCATTCCCTCCATATTAGTAGCGCACGTATTTCACCTGTGGCCCATGGGTGGGTTCTTAATGTTTTCGATGGAGCATTTTATTTTGTACTTCTGATTTTCGCGCCTTCAGTAAATGTTTAGCCTGTGCTTCATCAGTGGCTTAATATTCTCTAGCTAGTCTCTGTCTCACTGGTGGTAATACTTCTGGATGAGTTGTAAATGCGTCGGGGATTTGCACATTGACAATATAGGAAGTAGGTGATTATTGGGTTTATTTGGTTTTGGTAAACCATACGTATGCGGGAATTTACATATCAATGGTTTTAAAGAGTAGAGCTGTTCGAAATATGTTGCGCAAATGCATTACACTGTTCAGACACATTACGTCTTCTCATTGCTTTGCCCAAATTCGTAAAGGGATCTCATTGTTTTAGACTCTTTTCAGTTGTTTCATTTAATCTTGAGGCGTTGCGTCCTATCAGCAAACCTATCGCTCCTTTTTTGTGATGTGCCAATGCTGTGGCGTAACTTTATGAATCTCTCCTAATCCAATGTGATCAGAGTTGTTCACAAACTACCTATCCAATAGGATGTCCGGGATTTTGAAATATGGTGAAGAAAAATATGGTGATTAATACACACACGGAACACCTGAGAATGATGCCGGTGACTATCAGGTTTTCTTTTTGTTTCGTACAACTTTTTTAGTTATATTCGAAGCTTTTCGCCCGCAGTGCATAATGTTTCGTGTTTGTCTTACTTTAAGACGCATATTGCACTGATTCCACTTACGAACTACGGTTAGCTAAGAAATTCACTACCAAATACCATACGTATATACAGTGAAATAAATTAATGTGGTTCAAAACGATTTTAATTAGTCTGACACTTGAGCAGAAGACACCCAGTGTCTGCAATCTGTATGAATGTTCCACTTCATTGGTCTATTAAGTCCCTTACTCTCTCTGTCAAAACAGAGTCTATGCTAACCTTCAGTTTGTACTTATTGTTGGCGACATATAACTGTTTCTTTGTGAACAACACTAACTAGTTTAGCAGTGTGTCGTGGTCATTTCTCTTGATGTTATGAGAAACTTTCAGCAACTATTGCTGAGAAAGCCTTGTTAGTTTCAAGACTAAGTTTTAAATGTGGTCACTAGAATTCAGGCCCGTACGGTAATGGGTGTAGTTGAGTTTCGGCTCTTCGGAGGAGGGAGGCTTGAGCAGGCTCAAATGATAGCAAAGCACGTTGTTTTATCCCTCAACCCTAGATTTACTTACATGACGTCGACTATAGGATATCTAGCGAGTCAAACCAACTCCACACTAAGTAATTTAAAGAAATTTGGTCTCTGGGCGTACGATATTCAGTGTGTGCCTCCCACGGGGTGAAAAACAAAGCTGTGATTTTGCTGAATTTCAGATGTTTAATGTCAACAGATGTATGACAGAGATCTTTAATATCAATTACTACTCTTATGCCTTGCCTGTGAAATATATGACTTCAACAAATATCTATATTTCACCCTGTTCTCCTCAATCCTCTCAAGGTGGATCCATAATTTCCCATAGGGACTTACGTCTGATGTTACTCTGTGGTCTCCTCAGAATGTGCTTTTCTATCCACCTCCACTTTCTTCAACAGATTTGCTGATCAGTAGATCCTTGATCGGTTCGCTAACTTCCGAAGTTCCTTCTAGCCAGTCCTTTCAGTCTGGCAATCTGATCTTCACAATGTGGCTGATGAAGGCATCTGTTGATGAAAGTTTGCCACGAGCTGCTGAAAATGCTCCTGTCAAGATTCTGAATCACATAAATAACTGAATTAAACATAGTGTTGGAAATCCAAATCTGGTTGTTAGTGCCCATCGTAGTAGATTTTTGCGCTGATGTCAGACTAATAAAGGTTAGTATTTCTTTTCCTAGCCTTGCTTTAGCATTCTCATCCATGCCACCTGCAGCCAAAATATTGGGACGTGTAGATGGGAATAAATAATAAATATAAGTGGAAGGTGTAGCTTTGCTTAGATTTCCAACGTTGGTAGTGATAGGTGCTTGCTATTAATATGTGTTAGTTATCTCCACCTGTCTTAAGTATGTTCACTTGAAGCCCTATCTTCTCTGCCTGCTTCTTCTGAAATCTGGTTGCTTCTCGCCTTTATGTCTTCGAGTTCACGCGACATTAGACGAGTTGTCCCTGAAGTAAGAATCTTCAAGAATCTTACCAGCGCAACGTATTCTTGTTTCCTCGCCCCTCACAGTCCAGCGCGTAATCCAGTCCACCAAAATAGGAATACCTCGGTGATAGTACGCTGCAAAGAAACTTTTCGAAAACCAGTCGTTGAAATGTACGCGAACCATACTCGGTATACCAAACAATCATTGCATGAACCATATATTTAAGCGTCTTGCTACACAAAATATATGTCAATGCTTAGAACCCAATATCAAACAACCATTCCCGTATAAACTCACCCAACAAGAGTCAAATAAGCACCAAAATCACGTCAGCAGCATTTGCCTGAACAACTAGTCGAAACTCGAATCAACTAGACCGCACAAATGCCTGCACCGTGGAGCAAGTGGTGCCACTTAAAATAGGGTACATGCCATATAACCGCCCATAGGTAGCCATAACTGACTCCTTTTCCCACTTTTTAAAGATATAATTCTGATTATTTTTCCTTCAAAAATGCTAATAACTGCACCAAAGTGATATTAGACCAGAGTTAAGAAAATTTCAGCATCCATTGAGTGACTTAATCGTTTTTCTGTTTTCATAACTTTTCCGCTCGTCAAATCTAATAGTCTGCACGTGATATGTTGTCGTTGCCGTTCCACATACTTGACTACGTAAAAATTCACCTCATACTGAAGGACTTTAGCTCAGCTAGTGTATGTAAGCTGAGATTATCTAGATTTTGGCGTAGTATTACTTTGATACAGCCATTAGCATTATTAAGTGAAATGTTAGCGAAAATTATAGTTTCGTTGTTTTATCCACCCAAAAATAAAAAGTGACAAAAAACAATCAAATGATCGGAAGTGTGATGTATATTTCACCCGAATTCTAGAGACATATATTCTTTAAGACGTTGAACAAATCAATCTTCGACTAGGATATTTCGAAAGTGTATGTAAGGTCACTCTTCACTTTGAACTCGTTCTGTGGCAAGTCAGAAGCTCTACCACAGCCCGCATGTGGTTCATGCAATTCACAATGCGTAATTTTCCTGTGTAAGTCTCCATCTCTTCAGTAAATTAAATGATACATCCTGCTCATAAGTCACAAAGCATCTTGGAATGCGCAATTAAAAGCCATGCCGCTTCCTTTTGCAACATATATCAATAACTGATATGAGGTCTCGCCTTCCACAACTCGTTGAAAGTCAATCAATAACCTCCCAATTTCATTCAGAAGAACGCAGCAGGAAACATTTCGTGATATGCGAAGTTAGGTGAAAATAAGAAGTTTCTCCACAGTGGATTCATCATGTGAATTCCCAACTCATTCCACTTGCTGCTCTCTTGCATAACTGTACGAAATACATTAGATCCCATCATACACAACCTTTTCCCCATATGAAGAGGGGTTAATTCTGGTAGTTTCCGCTGGCCTTTCTAATTGGTCAAAAAGTGGTGGCTATGTAAGGCTAACTGCTGAGACAAAACCTAGTGTGTCTAGTGAACTGATGACTCCTTGCTGAAGAGAGAGCACACAGGAAGAAAACCAACTCCAATTGGGCAGTACCGAAAAGTAAGAAGTTAAAGAGTAACAAGATAGGAAAAGCTATGGGATTCAACGAAAAGAGTTCTGAAGCCTTTAGTACTGTTGCGAAAATTTACTCTATTTTTATATGCATCCTAAAAGAATCGAATGAAACAGTTCCAGTAGTTCGATATACATGTTATCTCAAGGCGACTGGTCCTACTATTTGTGACATATATCCCGAAATAACAAATCGAGTTCATGTCAGGAACGTGGGCAGAATCGGCAAACGAAGCAGTGATGGCACAGAAATTTTAAGGTGATTATAGAAAGTATAACTGAGGAACTAAATAAAGTTGACTATATTTCTCAGCAGACCATTTAAGAACAGGAATAAAAAGTTCGGAATAAGGCTTGGTTGGCCGCCGAAGTGTAGAATTCGATGTTTGGAAGCCGTAGTGGAACTGATTTCTCGGTTTAAAAAACAGGAAAATAATCTTAAAAATGTCTGGATTTCCAGTGGCAACGTCTCGGAAACATATGCGCCAAGACATCTGCGAATAAGTCGAGTGAAGATGTGCATCGGTTGCCTTGCGAATGTGTGTGGTCTTACGCGGAAGCTCCCCGAATAAGGAATTATTTCCCGTTCTTGAATTTGCTTAAACATGGTTTATGGTGAACTTGGACTCCCCTCAAGTCATACTGAGGTATATCTGCACTACATCGGATACAGTAATTAATCGAAAAGTCAGTGAAGTTACACCTTACATTCGAACTAAGATAATAATTAGGACAGTGGTCCTAGACTTGCACTTGCAGTTCGTGTTCCTAACTTGAAGTAGGGTACTCTGACAACCGGGGTTATTCGCAAATGTCCTGCTACCAAATGGTGATGACTTAACATAAGGGAGTGGGTTGATCGACACAAGCGTCTAATCGTAGTTGCCTGTAATGATCCCAAATGTTAACTGGGAGAAGTCAAAATCAATTAGTTTCAGTGCCTGTTTTAGTAAAGAATATACAATATTGACTACCGCAGCTCATGCGTGTACCAACACGATACCACCCTGGACATAAGCCCTCTGTCGTGGACTTGATGGCGACACACTATAAGGGGGATATACGTATACCATCACTAGGGGGCGGCGACACCGCAGTCACTTTAGCGCTAAAGAATCATCACTGCATACATAGCTTAATACCAGCTGTTAGGAGTCTCGCGGACCATTCACAGTGGAAGAACTTATGGGACCGGTTTACTATGACAATAAAGGGGGAGCTCAGGATGGAGTACGGCAAAATTCGCAACCTTTGTAAGTATAAGATTGAAAAAAGTCGTATAGAGTATAAGAGACAGCTGGTATTGGACTGTGCACACTATCCCAAAAGAATCTACTCATGTATCAAACCTAGGACTAGAACTAGCAGTGTTATACCGTCACTCATAAGAGGTACTGGAGAGGCGACCGAGTCAGACGAAACAAAAGCTAGAAAGATCTCGGAATACCCTTGTGATATCTTTTCGTCTAATCGTACCACCCAGAGTATAGCGGAGTCACTCCCACCGCCACTATAACACACTCAATCGCGGTAGAGGATGCAGTAGTTCTCAAACTACTGTCTAAACTGAAGCTAGGTGAATCATTTGGACCTGCAGGACTTTACCCTAGACTGCCAATATCGGCGGATATGTATCCATTTTCCACTTACGGAGATTTTTCGAATGTCTCTGACCCAGTTTAGGCTACCCGGAGACTGGAGGAATGCAATTATAAGCCCCATCTTCAAAGTGGTGAACAGGGAACTACCGGTCTGTAAGTCTGAACCAAGTTATAGCAAAGGTATCAGAAACAATCATTAGGAATCAGTTCTTAGCTCATATGGAGGAACATGACTTACTGGTGGTGGAACAGCATGAACTCCGACCAGCGCGATCCTGTCTGACAAACTTACAGTTAGCTAGGGAAAATTGGGTCGAGACCAGGGATAAGAACCATCTACTAGACATTGTCCTTATGGATATTAGTGAAGCATTCGGTAGTGTCCTATTTAGATCTCCTTGGTAAACTAAAAGGTTTCGGATTAGTCCAACGTCTGTGTGAGTGGTTTAAGAACTACCTGATGGTTAGAAGGCAGAGGAAAACGGTTAATGGTGTACTGTCAGGGTGGAAAGCAGTACTGAGCAGAGTACCTCAGGGAACTGTACTTGGCCCCCTGCTATTCCTATTACACGTAAATAAACTGCCGAAAATTCTTACTTCATCTTCTTTATTATTTGCGGATGATAGTGAGATATGGAAAACTGTAAATAGTAGTGATAAGTTGGTAATACAAACGATGTAGATAAACTAGCTGAATGGGCTGACCTCTGGAGTGTGGAAATTAATTCCAAGGAAAGTGCGGTAATGCACCTAGGTCGAAGGTCTTACACGCCGTAGTCCATGGAGGACACAACTGCCCGATGTTAAGAGACAAAAGGACTGAGTGACTATTGTCCCATGATTTCAAGACACGTGTATATAGTAGTTTGGCTGCAGCTAAGGCTCTCTTCAAAACCTATAGGCACTTCGAAGGTCTTTCAAACGCTTAGATGAGTCTATGTTCAAAGTACTCTCAGCAACATACTTCAGGTATCATCTAGAATACTGCATACAAGCCTTGAGTCCGTGCTTCAAGAAGTAAGCACATATCCTGGAGAGAGTACAGCTGGTGGAACCAAATTAGTCAGTGGCATGTGACACCTTTCTTATGACAAGGGGATGGAGCATTTAGATCTCTTCCCATTATCATACCGAAGATGGAGATGTGACTTAATTTTGGCATACCGTATATTGAAAGTTGACTCAGGGATTGTTATTTTTAATCTTTTCTCTCCCTTCGGGATACGTTCACGAGGTCACCAGGAGGTGCTCAAACCGAGATCAAATAAAATACGAGTGGAATGTAGATTTTATCACAGAGTGGTCAACGACTGTAACTCCTTACTCGATGAAGTAGTGTTAGCTGCATCAGTGAAGACTTTCAAAGTGAAATTACATCTTTTCATAGATGCATATTTCAAGAATCAAAACAGGCCACAGTAGCCTGTTATCCAGCATTTCCTGAATATGAATCAGAACGGCGGGCTGTCCGGAGTAGGCGTTACATTGGCCTCATGTGGATGTACCTCGTAAAGTATGTTTTCTAGTATATTCCCTCCGTATTATGTAGGCGTTTCTCATTATCCTTCAATGTTTTTACGGCCTGGCATCCTAATTTTACATAATATGTAAATTTTCTAGGATCCAGGTAGACCTAATAAGCTAACCATCAATGCTTCAGCCTCATTTCTGCATGTCTGCGTAATTTATGCCTTTCTGATTTTAGTGTATTGGTTTGCGGTACTTGTGACTGCTTCCCTAATAAGCGATTCCCTCCTTCAACCTATAACTTTACACAGACGTTCAGTAGTTCGATTTGCCCCACTCCATGTAGCACACTACACAACAGAAGAAAGTAAAAGGTGATAATAAACAGAAATATGAGACGAATATAAGCAAATAAGCAGTGTGAGTCTTTACAAATGGGATTTGGCAACACACAGTAGTTAGTTTCGTATGACTTGCAATATCTCTTCACACAACAGGAATGCAGCTTTAGCTCGTTTTCAGTCATGGTTTAATTTCAGTAGTAGACTTATTACAAGCAAGCATATCATTTTCAGGCTATTGAAGCACGTTCAGATGTTTAGAGAACTATTGTATTAACATGGGTTGTCACTTGTAAAATTTTGATAAAAGTACATGTCAGGAGTTGTTGGTTTTCTGATCTAATTCAACCATCGTGATGACGATTTGGATTACTCTATATCTCACTTTATCATATTGCATATAAGAGTGCTTCATCTTCAGTTTCAGATTTCATGATAAACGATAACAGACATAGGCTTATATTAATCCTCGTGATGTGTAGTACAATGGTGGTTGCCTCGCTACACAAGAGCTGACGAAGTGACAAAACTTGTTAATTTGAGCACTGTAGTAGAATACAATTCCATATTAGGTAAGTGTTTGATATTACAGTGATGCAGTACTAATAACTGGATTATGTTTCGAGCACAATATAATGCTTATAACCATAAAAATATATATTCACACGAGTTATTAACTTGCTTTATAGACTTTTTAACCCCTCTTCACCTAGCTGTATTAATTTATATTACTTTTACCCTATCTAACCCTATTGTGTTGGATATCTGAATGTATAGAATAATGAGAACTGTGGTCAAACTTTCAAATAAGTTATCTATTTACGCTGATTTGTAGCATTAAGATAAAAGGAAAAGCGCTACACAGTAACTCATTGTTCACCACAACTTTCCTTGCATGTTCCTCAATGTATGGTATTCAGTTTAAAATGTTAGCTAATATGGAAGTAAATGTGCAAAATCCCTCTTTAATACAGTGCTCGTAACCTTAGCATCTAGCTGCTTGTAAAGGCTGGATACTGGCAGCATATGACTGAACGAGATTTCAACCTAGAATTTCGCATGAAATTGCAGAAGTCCAGGTTGCCACACACCATGCATAACACGGAGGTAGCGGAAAAAGAAATGGTTAAATCAGAGGAATTGTATAAGTGGAAATGTGGGAAAACGATTGTTAGATGGAGAAACACGAAAACTTAATGAGTTTATGAGATCACAGAGAATGAATACATCTGCGCCGGTGGGAACGGTTTTTAAGCTACATCACTGACAGTATCTAGCCATTTGTTCTTAGTATCGCGAGGACTCCAGTCAGACAGTGTACAACTTAATACATAGATTGAAGTAACTTGAAAACGTCATGAATTTATAACAGGTTTTGGTTTGACAACTCCTAACTCTTTTCCGAAATCATCCCATGCCCGCTACGATTGCGCGGTAGCTCGACATGCGCGATACGCTTCCTAGCCATCTCAATCGATGCAACTTCACAACATCCTCGATTAACTTCCCTTCTTTACATAGCATTCTACGCCTAACCACAATAATACTCTCCATATTATACCACATAACACGGAAAATTGATCACAGATGTTTGTGTTTTAAGTTAGATTCTTCAGGTCTTCCATCCTCAGTGACCACGTCTCACAACCACAAAGAAGAACAGAGCGATCTTCTGCGTAGTACACACATCCTTTATCGATAGGTAGATATCAAGTTTACGCCAGAGATGAAAATTTGGTGAAAATTGCACGAGCTTCTTATATACTTCGCTGAGATTTCGTCAGCAGTGGATGCACCGGAGCTGGTATAACTTCACAAATAAGTGAAATAGCTAACACGCCCAGCCGCTTTTATACATGTGATTCATCTGTTAGACCAATAACTCACACTGAAACTTCTCAAGGATCACAATTACATAAAACGATAAGACATACATTGTGTTCTGATTCCTGCTACTCTTTGCTAAGTGCTTTAAAAGAGAAATATGTGACTTTCAAACAATTTAGGAAAAGCTGAACAAGTATTTTTGGAGATCCCAGTATATAGATGCCAAGTAAATTATGCAAGATAAATTGGCTAAAACGAAAAGCTTTCATAAATTGGTTTCATATCTCATTTCGAATTTATTAGTAAATTTAAACTAGTTTTATACTACTACTACTACTACTACTACTACTACATCAATTCTCAAATTGGTGTCTTCAAAATCAATACGTTGCAGATGCAAATACTGGGATGATGACAGTACCTACGAATTATTTGTTTACTTAGATTTGTTTACATAGATTTGAAAAGCCGTATAACGTTAACTTGTGTGAGTATATTAATATGATTATTGGTACTGAGTTACTGTGTGTTATATGAAATACTTACCTAATATGGAATTGTATTCTTCTACAGTGCTCAAATTAACAAGTTTTGTCACTTCGTCAGCTCTTGTGTAGCGAGACAACCACCATTGTACTACACATCACGAGGATTAATATAAGCCTATGTCTGTTATCGTTTATCATGAAATCTGAAACTGAAGATGAAGCACTCTTATATGCAATATGATAAAGTGAGATATAGAGTAATCCAAATCGTCATCACGATGGTTGGATTAAGAGTAGCACATAAATCTCGAAACTAACATGCTCAGTCACTTCACTTCATATCCGTAAACTAGTAGTCGGTGCAGACCAGTTCTGCAGTATCATATTACATTCAATACGAGACGTGCCGAGATTTCTGCTGAAGGTGCTCGGAAGATTCCGCATTTTGTCAGCGTGCTCACCTATAAGGATTTTCTCGTGTACATATTCTAATTAGAGACTGCACCCTAGTATCAAGTCAGTTCTTAACTCACCAGAGTTAATTAGACTGCTCCAGTTGTACATGTCAAATAAAAACTGTAGACTTAAGATATCTCTGATGAATATCACTTGTTGGGTTCACTTCAGATCACAACTCCCAAAGCTTTTTACACGGCTGCGTAAACTCGAGTAAAATGTATTAGTGGATGCAATGTACGTTCACGACACGTCAAAAATTAGACACTAGGAGATCACTTAATTTCACAGGCACTAAAGCGCAAATTTATTAATTGTATTAGAGAGAAGCATATCTTGGAACTACTGTGGTAACCTGCTCAATTCTATTTTAGCACATATTGCATACTACTTCAAACAAAGTAACTTATTATCCTTAGCAACGAATACGTTTTCTGTGGACGCATTTTATAGGTATTTTCTTTCTGGTCCGCTTACTTGAGTTCTCCCAGTAACCCCATAATCGTGCTAAACCATGCAGTTGAAAAATAAGAAATAGCATATAATCTACCACTTTGAAATAACTATGCATCGTTGATAATTCAAGATATCATTCACTTGAATAAGACGTAGTGCATTTGTATCCTTAACAATTTACATGTCATTAAGTGTTTTTGGTGTAACACCAGTCCATTCAGTTATATACTTCTCTTTTGCGTAATGTCATTTCGAAATAAGTCCATTAAACTATAAGTAAATAATGGTTTTATACAAAGGCACTGCTTTCAATGTGTCACTGATTTTTTAGTGTTCTAGTGCAACAAGACAGTTACTAAAGATACATCTAAAAAGTCACGCTACTAATGCGCGTGTAGATAATAAATTCAGACACCTGCCTCAGGTATCCGTACTTCGCATAGTAGAGCATCGAAATGATAAAGTAGAACCATTTTGATGAGAAATGTTAAAATGCAATTCCGGGCCTAAATTTTGAATACGACAAGATATTTCGCTGCAGTAGTAAAGTCTGTATCTCTGAAATACTACGCAATTCGTGGCCCTCAGTTTTAAAGACAACTCCATGGAAACTGTAGTGGTGGATAACCTCATAACTTATTTTATACGGTACATAGTCATAGAACACTATATATATATATATGTGCATGTATATATATATATATATGGCGTTCCTAGTACAATTTATCGCTCATCATTATGTCAAATCCGCAAGCTTAAAATTTTTATTTGGGATCAATCAAGTTGCTATTGTATGGAAAATCAGCTAGATTAAAAGGTGAGTGGTCAGGAAGAAAATTTAATTCTTTCTCTGAGAACACACTAGTACAGCCTTATTGAAAAGGTATTGGCATCAAAATACTTGAATTCGCTATAGATAAACTGGTTTAGAAGCTTCAGTAATGAACCCGAAAAAATGCTATTATTTTGTTTATGACTCGTTGCTGTTCTTACATTGTTTTATTGCACTTTGACAACTTTCGTATCTTTTTATACCTTAATTAAAGGAGATCCAAAAAAAATTTCAGATAACTTCAAATGGACTGTGATAGTAATAACAGCAATAATAAATCTTCATTTGGTTGTCGATACCTTACAGTTGATAGTGATGTTTATGAACATAATGCGTGGTGAGTTTAAGAAATAAGGAAGCTTGATAGTCATTTTTCAGGGATATTATTCAGTGGACAGAAGAGCAGGAGAATTTGGCGAAAGAAAGAATACTTCTAAATAGTACTGAACGGCTGCCAGAAGATTCCCAGGGTTTGTATAAATTACGGCTTCTACTGTTTTGATTTTCAGAAAAGATAGAAATTCTGGCACAAGAGTATTGGGATAAATTTTACTCTCACCATAAAGATAAATTTTTTAAAGATCGGAAATGGATGGAAAAAGAGTTCAGTGAATTATTTTGTTCAACGTGTATGTTTTAACTTTTTACTTATTATCATAGCATCTAGTATGCATATAATGGAAGTCGGTTGTGGTGTGGGAAATACAATACTTCCTATTTTACGCCTTGTCAAGTAAGTTATATCTCATGCTACTTTTCACATAGTCAGGAATCCAGATTTGTTCATTTATGCTTCTGACTTCTCTGCACAGGCTTTATCTATACTTACTGTAAGTTCATATTTACTGCATCTTTTTTTATTGTGTATAGCATTCGGATGGATATGATTCCAGTCGCTGCGTCGCTTTCACATATGATATTACAAAGACATCCGAGGAAATTCCTTGTCCCAGAAACAGCTTAGATTATCTAATCTTAGTATTTGTATTGTCAGCAGTTAATCCGGAATTGTAAGTAATTATTCTGTTCTCGTAATTCAAGCTCAATTAAGATTTCCGTCGGTCATAAGAAATCTTGTAACATATTTGAAACCTGGTGGTGTACTACTTTTTCGAGATTATGGACGATATGATTTGGCTCAGTTACGATTTAAGAATGGCCAATGTTTAAAGGATAATTTCTATATGCGACTAGATGGAACACGGGTTTATTTTTTCACGCAAGGTTAGTTGAGTTAAAGAATTATCCAAAAATCTAACATTTTTTATATACAGAAGAGCTACATGAATTATTTATCAATGCTGGTCTGGAGAAAATTCAAAATAAAGTTGATCGCAGGTTGATCGTAAACCGGAAAAGAAAATTACAAATGTACAGAGTATGGATACAGTGTAAATACAGAAAAATCTAACACGTTTGCAGTGTTGTTTTTGCTTCTCACCACTTAAAGGATAGATAAGAATAATCTTATTTTCATCCCGTAGGAGACTTGTGGTCTTTCGATGCAAAGTTTGTTTGTCACAAATGTTAGAGTTGTTATTGACCAAGTTTTTATCTTATTCCACTATATCACACAAATTATAATTCTATTCAACTGTATGACATCAACATACCATGAAACTCAAGGAGTTGTGAGTAGTAAACACAGGTACTAGGTCGAAAATATGGCTGTTTATAACGTTAAAAGTGTTTATGGACTTAGAAATCGGTGGTTCAAGATGTAATCTTAAAGCATATCTAATACAATTCTGTTCTTCCATATTACTATTCCTATTGCCTCATATTTGTTAATTATATCTCTTTACTCTCTTCTTTTGCTTTCTGTGCCACATGGAGCGTGGCAACCCGAACTGCTGCATACATATGTAAAGTTCTACGTCGAAACCAGTCATAACCTTTAAGTTAACCATCCGTCTGTACCTAATTAATGCAGTAGGTTTTGGACAATGTGAATAGCCAAGCTGTAAAGAAAGGAAATGTGTAGTTTTAACGATGTGGCTATCAGATAAATTGATGGGAACTGTGAGTTGGAATTCTAGTTGAGATACCTGCATATCAAGTACAAAATATTGAAAACGAAAGTGATAAGATGAAAATATAATTAGAAATGACAGCACAACATTACAAGGTGAAAAATGATATGGTAAGCAGGGAAATGTGTCAATATAATCACGGGAAGATACAAATTGATCTTTTGCTCCTCATTAGTATGACCTTTACTTTCCAATCTTTGCCCTCGACTACTTCTGGAACCCAGGTTATCTCTTTAGAAAGCTCAGGTCAAAAGTCAATGAATTTGAATGTTTTTGATGTCTCGGTTTTGATCATACTCAACTGCCAGTCTGAGGCTACTACAGTCAATGCCACCCTATAAAGTATGTCATAATCTCTCATACATGAAATGATAAAGCTTTACAATCTTGACAAAATACTTACCTCACCTACCTAAAAGTTTAGAGGTCAGTCAGATCTTAAATATTCTATGTATATTATATTTCTATTGAATGTAGGTGGTGTGAAACTCTGTACATCCTTTGTAGACCTCTGAAGATGTATTGATTTGTATCAGTAATAAGTGAGGTTTCATGTACAGGTTTGCTTGATTTAGCTAGTTCAATTCGTTATATATATCGTGATTCGTTATTCTAATATATCTTGGGTGGGCTGGCTCCAATTACTTCACGTTTTTATTCTATTGGGTCTTAAAATCTATTAAAACAGAAGTGGTAAAGTGATTTGCATTGATATGGTTACAGTTACAGTTTTCTATATCTTGCACTTATACGAAAATTTCTAACGTAGGAATGTGATACTTCCACTTACATGGGAGGAGGAAACTCCTCAAAATTATTTTAAGGGAAGTTGGTTATTCATTGCTGTCGTAATATAATTTTAAATTGGTTAGTGTTTGGAAACATGCATACGGGAGCGTTGAAATGCGAATCACCAAGATAAACGAGATGTGAAGCAGCTTTTGATTCTGTTGTCCTATTACTTCATCACAACTAGAAACACATTCATAGTAATTGGAGCAGTTGTTCAACATGGTCACTTTATTGGTATTAGATGGTTGGAGGCAATCGGCAGGAAGCCTTGGACCTAGGTTTCGTGCTAGTTGGCACTCATCTGCAAGGCGTATCTGCAACCTTGAAGGAACTGATGTCCCTTCTGAGATTCGAACCCACGTCACCCAGTGCTGCAGTCAGAGACGTTACTACTGAGCTATTCAGGCTCGCGACTCACCTCCTGTAGGACTGTATTGGATATTTTTGATTGCACCATAGTAATCGGCTTCCTGCCGATTGCCTCCAACCATCTAATACCAACAATTCACAGTGCACCGTAATGGCGAGCCACCTAGCATGGTGGCCTCATTGCAAACATGACTGGTAGAATTCAGTCTGCACCGAATATAGGACTAGACATATTACACTAGTTACTGACTAGTGTGCAATCAAAAATATAGTCACTTTAGTAAATGAGAAAAAACACGCTTTTGTCGAGATTGAAGGACTTAGGCTTTTTGTGTTGAATTCAACCATTTTCCAGTCTTTTCATCAGATTTACACTTTTAGAAATTGAGAGTGTTGAGGTTCATGGATAGTACGGGTTATACTAATGCAAGATCTAACACCGACAACTTCTATAGTATTGATTCTGCGTAGACCAAAGGCAAAGCAAAACACCAAATTGATCGTCCAAATTATGAAGTATATTTTGGGACTAAATCATTGTGCGAGTGTGACTGCTTAACTAGCTAGGGATCGTTCACGAACAACTGAACGTAACATGACCGTGCCAAATGGCGTGGATGCTTGCCCGGAAGCCTTCAACTAAACAAGTCGACTTAAACAGTAAGAGTCAGCAGCCAAAGTTCAGTTGTGAATGCTGTGGCTAATTATTCTGGGGAATTACCTACTGCTACACGTGTATTTATGTAATCTTACAGGGTGGGATGCATTTGCCATGAAAGCTTTTCATATTCACTATACTGTATGTATAAGACGTGCACGAAGCTATTCAATGCTACTACAACATATAACCTAGTTAAATAGTACGCTAATTTTCTTGCCAACTTTAAGTCCAGGAAGATCGGGAAAGCCGTTCGTGGAGCTAGAGACCCCATTTCACGTAGTCACTTCAGTAGCTAGAGAAACTTGAGAACTGAAGAGTAATAAAAAAAATGTTATGACCGTGTTACTTTCGAAATTGATGACATTTCTGCACATGTTTGCTCTGATATTCATTTATTGCTTATTGATATAAAATCCTTAAAAGTATGGTCCAGATTTCTAAAAAACGTGTTCGTAGAAACACAGGTGCTTTAGATAGTGGCTCAATCTCGGTTATAACCGCATTATGGCCCTGTTATACAGTATCAACTGCTAGCTCACAAAATGGCTTGCGTGCAGTTCTCACTCCTGTGATATTCTATCAGAGAACTCTGATTTTGGTAAATTGAACTGCCTTGTGAAAGATATCCAGAGGCAAGTAAGTGAACTTCAGGAAAAATTAGGTCAGTTTGATAGTATGACACTGCAAATCTCAAATATCACGGAAAACCTTTCTAATATTGACTGGATTCAGTCTTTACTGGATGTAACTCAAAACAAGTTTACGGATTTAGACTCAATAGCCTGCCTTTTAAATAAACATCCTTAAATTTCTCTGGACAACCTAAAGAAAGCAGAAAATCTCATTGACTGCATGGCTGCCGAGTCAGTAAGGCGTATGGCCTCTTTTCATCAGGCTATAGTTTACAACATCCCAGATTCAATGCCTCTGAAGACTATAAAAAACAAAATCCTGGATTATTGCGACATGGCTACTGTGCCATGTGATTGCAAAAGACTTCGTAAAAAGTCGAACCAGGCTAATCGACCCATCATTTTTAAGTTCGGTAATTCCCTTGATGCTAGTAAGTTTACTAAATGTCAGGATCACTTAAGACTGAATAGCAGTTATAAGTCTGTAACTATAGCTCAGGATAAAACACCGTGTCAACGCAGAATAATGCGTAGTAATAATCTGGTCACATCTGTCTTAAATCTACCGAAAGTTGATCGTGTACTACAACAGTCACCTAGTACTGACGGTAGCATTCAGCCAACTACACAACCTTGCCTGCAAATGAAACTAGGAACTGAATAAGATATCAATATTCCTGTAAATAAAGCCTTACTGAAAGCTGTTAAAATATCTGGCACTGCTACAAGTTGTTCTAAGAAATTTTCACCTGAACGCAGTAACCTCACTATAGTGAACAAAGTTCGCAGGATTGAGTCTAATAATGGGAAAGAATACTTTGTATTCAATAAGCCTGGTGAGAGTAAGCGTGTCAACAAACCCATACTTGAAAAGAAGAAATCATCTCAAAACAAGTATCTTTTATGGTTTCTAGCATACTCCACCTTATAGAAACGTAGACCCTAAAACCCCCAAAGTCTTGCAACCGAAGCACCTCCCCCCACAATATTCTTCTAGTTATAAAAACAACATCAAGAAGCGTACCAGTATGCGGAATAGCGGATTGATGGGTGGACCTTACAATGCCATTCCATTTAATTCACAACCCAGCCGCAACTACTACTACCCGTACATCCAGGAACACACGGCATATTTCTATGTGTCTGAATCACTGGTACGATGCATGGCACCTAGGATCACCTCGTCGCACTCTAACCGGGATGTATGGACACCCAGTCCGACCCCCTTATCATCCATAAACTATTGCAGTGCTGACGCACAAACAGAATCAGGTTATGTTGATATTTAAAACCAGTTTGTTGAATCCCGTGACTTATTCATAATATTACTAATAAATGCACGTTCCCTAATCAATAAGATATCTGAATTTAGGACATTATTATTAATCGCCAAGCCTACTGTAGTTCTGATAACTGAGTCATGGTGCTCATCCTCTATACTTGATGTGCATATATGTATAGATAATTATACTGTACAGCGTGCAAATAGAGATTGCAAGCGTGGTGGAGAATGTCTCATATTTATTTATAACTCATTCGAAGTCAGTAAGGTGGAAGATGAAATACTGAATGAGGTAGCTGATTCACTCTGGGTCGTCTTGCATGAAGATAAGTACAAACTTCTCATAGACTGTGTTTGTCGGGCACCATGCTCAACCAAAAAAACTGATGCGTTACTAGCTAAATCGTTTGCACACGCCTCCTCGTTTAGTACTAATTACAAAATAATTGCAGGGGACTTCAATCTTCGAGAAATCAACTGGTTAAGTGGTTCCGGTCCCCAGCGCTTCGACGAATTACTTGCCACTATCGATTGTTATGGATAGCAACAACACGTAGAGACACCTACCCGCGGTGAAAACATGTTGGACCTTGTGTTTTGTCATGACACAACCCCAGTCTCCACCTATGTTAGAAACAGATTTTCCAGTAGTGACCATAGAATAGCACTTTGCTCTCTGCCTTTCTCACCTCTAAATACAAGAAACAAACAAGATTGAGAAAGCATGATATGCCGCAATGACAAACATACAGACTGGGGATTAGTCCAAGAATTCATTTGAACCTGTCAATGGGATGACTATTTTACCACTGACTCCCTGGATGCTGTAGTGTCTTTATTTTACAGGAATTTTACCCTTTGTCTAGATACTGTTGCTCCTAAGAAAATAGTGA